TACACAGAGTTCCAATGGAATTTTTCATTTATTACGCAGAATTTGTTTCCGTTATTCTCATGGCTTAATTATATATTCTTAGAATTTGGTAACCATTTTCCATTTCTAAGTATATATTGACTTTTTTTTTTTCTGTAAAGAATATTCTTAATTAAGCAGAGACAAAGGGTACAGATTGATACAGAATTAGTTCAGAAAAGGTCAAGCTTTTCCTACTGTCTCAGAACCCAGAATAGGGGGCAACATAACACAAGATCAGAAGAAAAGTAAATGGTACGTAACGATACAAAGGGAGCCTAAGTAATAATATATGAAAATATTTAATGTACAGGGTGGAAGATGTATGACTTGCTAATTGCTATCAACTGAATTAGATAGATTCATATCTGAAAGAGGTTGACAATAAGTTCTTTCAAAATTTACAATTTGTCCATCTGTTAGACGGTTTCTAGAAGTGTCTACGATCGAATGCTATACGAACGAATGGATCTGGTCTACTTAGAAAATGAAAAGATTTGTCCAAGTTATACCTTTCGTCACCGCTTTACAAAAATCGTATTATCATATTTTTACAATATTACGCAAACCTTTAATAGTACAGGAGTCTTTTGGGCGGGAAATTAAAATGAAAAATTTTGTTTTTATATATAGTATGGATTGTTACATAATTAGTTCTGAAAGGAGCTTTTCCTACCGTCTCAGGACCCAGAATAGGGGGCAACATACATAACACAAGAAGAAAAGTAAATGGTAATGATACAAAAGGGAGCCTAAGTAATAATACATGAAAATGGAAGATGTATGAGTTGGTAATTGCTATCAAGTGGTGCTGCCACTCCTGCCGCTGCCAGAGAGGTCTCCAGAAATTGCAGTCCCATATGATACCGATCGTGTGTGTGAACTGGAAACCCGAGACTTATAGTTGTCGAATCTTGAAAAGATCTCTAGGTGGAGGCTGCCTCTGCACAGTCGTCGTGTCATCATCCATATTTTTCCTCTTTCCAGCTAGTCTGTGTCTTGTTTTGAATTTGCTTGAATCCGAGCGATCGCTCGTAGATGGAACAGATCCTGAGTGTGCTGAAGGAATGTTGGTTTGCAGGCACAGAGATATGACAAAATCAGCATCTGGAGATGGGCCCTCAACAGGTGGCAAATTTGAGATGAACGCTGCCAATGCAGGTGGCAATGATTTCAGAACATTTGCTGCTTGCCCGTTACTTCCATATTGAATGCCAGAATAAGGCAATGCCCGTTAATTATGAACATATAGTTTAATAATTATGAACATAGAACACTGTGCACTCAGCACCATGCATGGTGCACACGGTTACACAGTATAATTTTCCCATAGTAGCTCCTCCGTCCATGAGTGTCACTATAGTCATGGGACCAAAAATATGAAAAATTCTTTTTATAATTAAATACTAGAAACATGGTAGAATTCTAGTAATATATTTGACGCTTCTTAGAAAAGAAAAAAAAAATTAATATTTTGAGGACTAAATAATGTCAAATAAAAAGGCATGGAACATAATTATAAAATTGCAAAAATTGATGGAACATTTTTATAATTAAATACTAGAAACATGATAATTGTTTGTTAGAAAAATTTATATAATCTAACCTGTTGTGAATTGGATACTAGATTTTAAATGTTTACTCTCTAATGTGTAACTTATTGGGGATTTTTTTAAAAAAGAAAAATAAAATAAAATCAAGTAGGCGCTTATTGTGCATGTATTGGTCCATTATTTAGGTGATTTTTGTATGTTGGCTAGTGATGATGGTATCAGATGCATTAACTGTTTTGTTAGATTTTAAAAAGTTTAAGAGAAAAACTAGATTTACTCGTCAAGTAGTTGGTGAAACGAGCAAATGTCTTACTTTTGTTTCGTTTTTCTCTCTCTAACGGGCCCAACAAAAATATCTACAAATATTTGACTGCAATCGGAGAAACATACTATAACAACATTTGTGACGCAAAAAGTGAATATCTTGCTTGCTCTCTTCATGATTGCATTTCACTCCTTGCAAAAACTGTCATCTGGGATCTTGTCTCATCACTTTCACTCATTTTTCTTTGATCTATTTTTTTTTTTTTTTTTTTTTTTTTTTGTACTCATTATTCTTTGATCTTTGATTTGTGTATAATCAAGAATATTTTTGTAATTGCAAAATTAGTTAATTAATTTGGTCCATTATTTTGGTGAATTTGATATGTGGTCTAGTGATGATGATATCGGATGCCTTAATTGTTTTGTTAGATTTAAAAAGAAGTTCAAGAAAAAAACTAGATTTACGTACTGGCTCAATATAGTAGATGCGTGAAACGCGCATCTGTCGTATTTTTCCTTCGTTTTTCTCTCTCTAATAGGGCCCACAAAAACGTGTACAAATATTTGATTGAAAATGGATAAATATATGATAACAACATTTGCCACGCAAAGAGTGGATATCTCGTTTTCTCTCTTCATGATTGCATTTCGCTCCTTGCAAAAATTGGTCATCTGGGATCTTGTCTCCTCACCCGTCTTTCTTCTTTGATCTTTGATTTGTGTATGTTCAAGAAATTTTTTGTAATTGGGAAATTAGTTAATTAATTTGGTCCCTAATTTTGGTGATTTTGGAATGTTGGGTAGTGATGATTGTATCGAAATCACTCATTGTTTTGTTAGATTTAAAAAAAAAATCAAGACAAAAAACACTAGATTTACTCTTCGAGTAGATGCACGAAATGCGCACGTGTCTTACTTATCCTTCGTGTTTCTCTCTGATAGGGCCTACAAATACGTGTACAACCATTTGACTGCAAATGGAGAAACATATGATAACAACATTTGCGGGCAAACAGTGGATATCTCGTTTGTTCTCTTCACGATTGCATTTCGCTCATTGCAAAAATTGGCCATCTAGGATCTTGTCTCCTTACTTTCACTCATTCTTCTTTGATTTTTGATTTGTATATGATCAAGAAAAATTTTGTAATTGGGAAATAAGTTAATTAATTTGGTGATTTTTGTATGTTGGCTAGTGATGATGGTATCAGATGCATTTATTATTTTGTTAGATTTAAAATAAATTTTTTTAAAAAAAAAACTTTATTTACTAGCCCCGTAGATGCGCAAAAACGCGCACATGTCTTACTTTTCGTTCGTTTTTCAATCTCTAACGGGCCCCACAAAAAACATGTACAAATATTTGACTGGAAAAGGAGAAACATATGATAACAACATTTGCGACGCAAAGAGTGGATATCTCGTTTGCTCTCTCGACGATTGCATTTCGCTCCTTGCATAAATTGGTGGGGGTGTGGGGGCAGCTACTTTGACTGCCCCCATAGTAGCGGAATGTTATGCACTTATGCTGTGCAACCGTGTGCACCATGCAAGGTGCACATGGTTCCAAATTCATAATTTCTATACTATAGATTCATAGTTTCTATACTGTAGATTCAATATTTCTATACTATAGATTCATAATTTCTATACTGTAGATTCATAAAATCTATACTGTAGATTCATAATTTCTAAACCGTAGATTCATAATTTAAATACAGTAGATTCATAATTTCTATACTTGTTAGGAACATATGTATTAGGATTTTGATGATACCAATATAACTTAGAAGTAGACCCCTAACTTTTTGTCACTTGTCTTGTTACCTTCGTTCTAGACGAAAGGTACCTTAACTCATCATGTAATTCGTGTTAAGCTAGACAAACACACAAAACCGAGTTAAGTTTATTTTTAGTTAGGTCTCTCTCAACGAAAGAAGAGCAGTTCGATGAAGCACAGTCTCATCTCTACTGGACAACGAAAGATGAGATGATCTTCTACGACAGAAAGCAGAAGCCGAAAGAAACCCTCTGATCAAGAGACCTTTATGACTGTCAAGACAACTCATCTTCTCTCAACTTAAGAAGAATGTTGTCAAATGTCTCATCTGAAGATCATCCTAGGAATAAACTCTCCTAAGATTGAGAGCACACTTTTCAAGGTGCATTAAATGCCACAGTACTACTTTTCAGAGCTGGAAGACAAAATAAGCAAAAGTGCTTATCTCCAACGTCTCTATAGTACAACTGCATTTAATGAAGCAATAAATGCACAAGGCTCTCTGGTTATTAACCACTGGATCATAGGTTTGAAATGCCATCTCCCTCCAACGGATGGATTTCTTCTCACCTATAAATACCCATCTTCTCCATGTTAGAAGGTGCTAGTTTTTAGAACAATTGAATTCATTCTCTCGAAAGCTCCTTATACAAGTTCACTCTCTCAAGCTTTGGAAATCCAGTGATCCAAGGTGTGAAATTTGAAGAAGACGCATCTGAATTCATTCATACATCCTTGAAGAAGTCTTGCAACTTTGTACACGCTGATTATCCATCTAGCCACCAGCCAGTCAAGACTTCAACGTGTTGGAGAAACTCAAAGATTATTCAATCCAACCCTCAACTCTGAAGAAAAATTTGATAGAGGCGGAGTAAACTTGGGGAGTTGAAAAACCTTCAAGTAGTTGTCCGGCTTAGTGATCAAGGAAGCTATCTTGGTGTAATTTGTACTAGGAGTGATAGTGCAAACCTTTCACGAGTTGTGAAAGAAGAGTGGAGTAGGCACAGTTGGCCGAACCACTATAAAAACTCTCTTGTCTCTATCTCTTTACATTTCAGCATTTTACTTTCGTGCATCGCATTTCATTAGCCCTAACCGAAAGTTCCCCATGAGATCAAACAGTGCAAAGAAACTTAAAATTTACCTTACATATCCGCTGCATAATAACCCCGAAAGGAGTTGTTATTGGTGAAAAACGAATTGAGTCTATTCACCCCCCCCCCCCCCTCTAGACTCTCCTTTCGACCCTACCGGGACCAACAAGTGGTATCAGAGCAGTTACCTTGAACGGTAAAAGCTTTGCCTTTACTGCCCGGTAGATCCCTTTTTACAAAAAGGTTAAAATCTCATTTTTCTCGTCTTTGCACATATTTTCTAAAAGGAAAATGGAAAAGGATCATGCTAACCGATCTAGGCCTCTTACCTTTAGTCTATCAAAATTTGATGATTGGAAAGTAAGGATGCAGGCACATTTCTCGGCGATCCATGATGAAATGTGGGATGTCATATGCACAGGACCCATCACAGTGATGATGGTGAACACCAATGCTGCTGCACAAGGAGCTGGTGCAGAACCCATGATACCGAAACCAAAGGCTCAACTCAACTCTGATGAGAAAGCGCGAGCTAACTTGGACAACGTTGCTCGAGATATCCTCTACAAATCTCTGGACGATTCCATGTTTCTGAGAGTTCGCAAATGCACAACAGCAATGAAAATCTGGAACGTTCTTATGAACTTGGGAGAAGGAGATGAGCAAGAAAAGGACAACAAACTCACTGTTGCCATGAAAAAGTTTGAAGACTTCAAGATGATGCCTAACGAAGCTATCACTGACATGGAGCTCAGGTTCACAAAGTTTCTAGGTGATCTTTCAGACCTCGGAAAAGAGCTCACTGAAAAAGAGAAGAATTTGAAGATTCTTCGAGGTCTCCCGAAATCATGGGACATGAAAGTCACCGCAATGAGAGATCATCGCGATATGAAAACCACGAGCACAAGAAAAATCTTTAGTGATCTGAAAGCTTATGAGTTCGAGCACGAACAAAAGGAGTTGGAAGAAACCGAGATCAGAAACGTGGCTTTGGTGGCCAACCAACAACCCTCGACGTCAAATAGGTCAACCTCTAACTCTTCAAATTTTTTATCTGACGAGCAATATGCCATGTTTGTTAGGAAAATGAAAAGATTCATACGGAAAAACAACTTCCAAGACTTTCAAAGATCATCAAGCCGAAGTCAACATGAAAGATCTCAGCTTCCACCAAGACAAGAAACAGTGGATTCCCAAATGCTGTGCTACAATTGTCGAAAGCCTGGACATTTTAAGGCAAATTACCCACATCCAATGGTTAGCAAACATCAGGACTCTGGCACGACAAAAGAAACTGGCGAATCCATCAAAAGGAATGACAAACCAGAATCATCGAACTCCAGAAACGAAAGAAGGAGAAAAACAATGGTCGTAAATGAAGCGACCGAAAACAATGAATCCGAAAGCAGTTCCTCAAGCTCAAGCTCGGATGATGACAGTGCTGAAGAAGAAAAGGGACTGTTGTGTCTATTCAGCGAGGAAGAAGAATCAAGTGAAGTGTGTCTTATGGCACAAGATGAAGAGGTAGACTCTCAATCCTCTTCCTTTCTTTCATTAGAAATGAACTCATCAAATGATCAAAACTCCAATGGATCTGTCAGTGATATGATGAGGAGATTTGCTATCATAAATAGCACATACTTAGAATTGAAAGAAGAGAACTCTCGACTATTGATCAGCCACAATGAGCTAAGGCGAGTTCGAATAGAGAACGTAAAGCTAGCCATTGTAAAGGATCAGCTCGAAAAGCAAGTTCTATCTCTCAAAGAGCAGTGCATAGAAAGAGAAAAGCGGGAGCAACATTTGCGTGAGGTTCTTGAATCATTTAATAATTCGTCCAAACTGATGGACCGAATGGTAAATGGTTCAAAACCGCCTGGGGAAAGAACCGGAATTGGTTATGACCTCGGCTCCTCTTCACATGTCACTTAAACAAACCCACAAATGTTTACACCCGTGAAAGTTTTACATATGCTTTTGTTCAAGGTCCCACTCAAATGTCTTAGCCAGTGACCAAGGTTAACAATGGTGAAATACCACAATCAACAAGCTAACCTAAGGGAACGGCTGTACAATGAATTGTGGAACCTAGAAATGAAAATTCCTTGAAAGGCAATCCTAGGCACAAAAATGCCAAATCGAATGGACCAAACAGAAATAGAGTCAATCTATATCAAAAGAAAGGTCACCCTACCAGAAATGATCAATCAAGGACAAAATCAAATGTTAATCAGAGGCAAAATCGTCCTAATTTTGCACGAAAGAATCCTCCACAAGGAGATGGACATATCCGACATGCCGAGAGGTCATTCAGAAGACCGAGGACAGGCAATGGATGGAGTGGACCAACCAAGGAAGATTGGTTTTATTATCCCGAACCTCTGCCAAAAGCGCAATTTGACAAAATACATCTGCATAAACAAACCAATTATTCCAAGCAGTATCATAATCCTCCTGCTGATTATTTTCAAGAACGATATAGGAACAAAACCTTTTCAAAAATCTTTTATGATTATCGTGTCTTTAACGGGTACAAGGGACCGAGAATGAGTAGAGGTTACTCTAGGTTTGCTTGGATCTCAAAGTTGACATCTAACCCCGAAGGACCCGTAACGGAAGGGGTACCTAAAAATGCATAATCTTTCTTGCAGGAAAAACAAGTCATATGGTATGTGGACAGTGGATGCTCAAGACATATGACTGGCGACAAAACGATTTTGAGCAACTTTAAGGAAATTGATGGCCCAAAAGTGATATTTGGAGGAGAAACAAGTGGAAAAACTTGTGGGACAGGAGATGTCATCAGAAATGGCATAACAATTCAAAATGTCTCATACGTAGAAGGATTGAAATTCAATCTGCTAAGCACAAGTCAGTTTTGCGACAAAGGATATAACGTCGAATTCTCCAAAGACAAATGCAATATCGTCAGCACGAGAGATGGCGAAATTGTTCTCTCAGTGAAACAAAAGAAAAATATGTACGTTATCATTTGGAACTCATTTAATGCTAACGTTTGTCTTGTAGCTAAAATCAATGCAGATCTATGTTGGGAATGGACAACAAGATGAGTCACTTGAACATAAAGACCATCAACAAGCTTGCAAAGAAAGATCTAGTAGAAGGTCTACCAAAAGCAACATACGTTAAAGACAAGATCTGTGAAGCATGTCAAAAAGGAAAGCAAATAAAATCATCCTTCAAGTCCAAAAAGTCAAACGTAAACTCTTGACCATTGAGTTTGCTACATATGGACCTATTCGGACCAGTTGACCCCGCAAGCCTTAGTGGACGAAAATACACACTGGTCGTAGTAGATGATCACACGAAGTATACATGGGCATTGTTCCTGAAGAAGAAGAACGAAACAGAAATTGTTCTGCCCAATCTTCTAAGACAACTCCAAACAGAGATGGAAATCAACATCATAAGGATTAGATCAGATCAGGGAACTGAATTTGTTAGCAAAGTCATCAAGGATTTCTGTGGACAAAATGGCATATTTCACCAACTTTCAGCAGCAAGAACACCACAACAAAATGGTGTTGCCGAAAGAAGAAACAGAACCTTGAAAGAAGCAGTACGAACAATGATTGCACATTCGGGATTGCCTAAGCGTTTTTGGGCCGAAGCCATCAATATAGCTTGCTACACACAAAATCGATCCCTGATCAACAAAGCTCACAATCTCACTCCATATGAATTATGGAAAGGTAAGAAACCTGTCATTAGCTACTTTCATATCTTTGGTTACAGGTGCTTTATTCATAACAACGGGAAGACTCATCTAAGAGATTTTGACGAAAGAGCTGATGAAGGATTATTTATGGGATATTCTTCGGTTAGCAAAGCATACAGAGTTCTCAATAAAAGAACAATGGTCATAGAAGAATCAATACATGTTAAATTTGATGAAAAATCCGAGAAAATCCCTATTGAGATGGATAAAACGAATGGTCAAGGGTCAACCTTCGAGAAAATGTAATCATTGATGACGAAGATTCTGACTTCGAAGATCATCTTCCTTCTTACACAAAATATCAACCGAAGTCTACGAACTCCGAATCCAGTGCTCAAACTGTTGAAGAAACACGAGTCACTAACACGAATGTTCAACTTACCTCAGAACCTATGATATACATTGACCTACCCTATATTCCTGAAATGAATGATCAGCAGCAACAACCAGCTTTTGAACCAGATCTAAGATGGCTGAGAGACCATTTTCCTGATCAAGTCATTGGAGATGTACAAGAAGGATTAAGAACGAGAGCTTCCTTGCATGAAAATATGATGGCCTGTTTTCTATCACAAATGGAACCAAAATCTATTGAAGAAACACTAAGCGACCCAGATTGGGTTATAGCCACGCAAGAGGAACTTCACCAATTTGAATGAAACAATGTATGGGAACTAGTTCGGAGACCTACACATCAAAATGTCATTGGAACCAAATGGGTATTCAGGAACAAAATGAGTGAAGATGGTCTCATTGTTAGGAACAAAGCTCGTCTTGTTGCTAAAGGCTACTGTCAAGAAGAAGATATTGATTTTGATGAAACCTTCGCCCCTGTAGCCAGGCTTGAAGCGATACGAATGTTTCTTGCCTATGCGGCATATAAAGATTTGAAAGTCTACCAGATGGATGACAAAAGTGCGTTCTTAAATGGACTTCTTGAAGAAGAAGTGTATGTTGAACAACCACTTGGTTTCGCCATTGATTGCGGACAAGAAAAAGCCTATCATCTCAAAAAGGCCTTATATGGATTAAAACAAGCTCCATGAGCTTGGTATGATACGCTTTCATATTTCCTTATCAATTGTGGTTTCATGAAAGGAACTGTTGATAAACCGCTCTTTCGGATAAAAGATGATGATCATGTTTTGCTAGTTCAAATCTATGTTGATGACATCATTTTTGGAAGTACAAATCCAGATTTATGTGAGAAATTCTCAAACCTTATGCAAGGTAAATTCGAAATGAGCATGATGGGAGAATTGAACTACTTTCTTGGCTTGCAAGTTAAACAATGTCTGGAAGGGATATTCATTAACCAAGAAAAATACACAAAGGACTTGATTCGCAAATTCGGAATTGATGGAAAGTCCTCAGTCAAAATTCCCACGAGTACATCATTAAGAATGGATGTTGATAATGAAGGGAAAGATGTTGATCTAAAGAACTTTCGTGGAATCATCGGATCTCTTCTCTACCTCACAACAGTAGGCCCGATATCTCTTTTGCCGTTGGTGTATGTGCACGGTTTCAATCCAAACCGAAAGAAATTCACCTAAGTGCTGCTAAGAAGATTTTAAGATACCTTAAGGGAACCCAAAGTGTTGGACTTTGGTACCCAAAAGGAAACTCTTTTGATCTTGTTGGCTATTCAGATGCTGATTTTGCTGGGTGTAGAATTGATCGCAAGAGCACCTCAGGAACCTGCCAGTTCCTAGGGGGAAGACTCGTATCTTGGTTTAGTAAGAAGCAAAATTCTATTGCAACCAGTACCGCTGAAGCCGAATACATTGCGGCTTGCAGTTGTTGTGCACAAATCTTATGGATGACTCACCAATTAAAAGATTATGGTGTAACAGCTCGAGAAGTGCAAATAAAGTGTGACAACACAAGTGCAATTGCAATTACGCACAATCCTGTATTACACTCTCGCACAAAGCATATTGATATCAAGTATCACTTTATTCGTGATCATGTTGAAAGAAAGAACATATCTCTTGAGTATATTAATACTGAGGATCAATTGACAGATATTCTCACTAAACCATTATGTGAAAATAGATTTGCCACACTTCGCCACGAAATTGGAATGATTGAATTGACATGTTAATAAGATCTCTTGGATGTTGGCGTGTTAATAAGATCATGATTTAGAGATTCCTGAAATGATTCCATAAAGCAGATCTCGGGAAATAAAAAAGGAAGCATATTATCTACTATAACACGCAAGAGCACATACTTTCAGGCTATAAAAGGACAAACATGTGGTTCAAAGAGCTCACACTAACTACTTATTCTAATAAATTTCGTTTGAGTGATTTGTGTTTACAGGTATGAGTACAGAACACGAAGAGAAGACGACAATCACAGAAAATAAGGAACGAGATGAAACTGAAATATTTTATGATCCTCTCGTAAAGGAAGAAAATGAGGGTGCCATGAACAAAGTGATCGCAAATTCGCAATACTTGCAAAATCTTCTTCGTGATCCAACGGAACACGAATCACATGAATCTTTTCACTCTGTTGGCAATACCATAGTATACGCTGTTATGGATAGCGTGCTAGAAAGGAGTGATAGTCTCGACTACTCACCATCGAGCACTCCTCCAAAAATGCCCTCCCCACTCAAATCTACAGCTAGCAGCAAGAAGAAAAAGACCTAAAAGATCATCTTAAGTCATGACATTAAACTGTGATCATGTTGCAAATCTCATGAATAAAGATTCTTGTTTCTTTGTTTACGATAATATTCGATATTTGCCTCGTATGAAAAGATCTGCCACAAAGTTTATGAAAGATTCCCAAAAAGAGATTTGGCACTTCCATCCAAAATCTCTTGAACACACCTACACGCAACCCTTGCACCTATAAATTATTGCCTTTTTCAACGAAATCTACTCAAATTTTTTGTGCTTTAGTAAGTATTATTTGCAGGTATGAATCGGGACAACAACAAAGAGAAGATGGATGAAGCAGAAAAGCGAGCAATTCGGCGAGATCACCATCTCTTGGAAGCAAGAAAACTCACCAATGCCACAATTATAAAATTAGAAGAGGATGGTGAAAGGGTGAATGTCACATACTCTATGCCAAGCTCAGCTAGCATGAAAGACAAAGAAATTCTAGACAACAATGTCAAAGAATCTCAGACCAAGAGAGCCTTCCATCAGGAACAAGCCAAAAAGTTGGCACA